ACCCACATGGTGGGTAACAACAGTCTGTAACTCCATTTCCAGGAGATCTGATACCCTCTTCTGACCTCCATGGGCATTGCGAGACACGGGTGCACTTACATACATGCCGGCAATACACTCATACACATAAAACAAAAATAAAGTATTTTTTAAATATAGTACAATGGATTCAGATAGCAATGCATTTTTGTATCTCAATGTGAAAGGAGACACACACACACACACACAGTGTGTAGCTCTAAGCTTATCTGTTCAGATATAATCAGTAGTTGTCTCATCACATATTTCCAAAGAGTAGATAGCATGCACACAAAGAATTATTACATCCACATAGACAAGTGGTACACTTTGTTTTGTAAACATAACCTAACACATTCTAATTTACATACAGTTGTCATCGGTCAATTTAATGACAACATAACAATTATAAAACGGTAGCTGAATGATACCCTAAAAAGATAGGTGAAGACAAATGATAAGTGGAAAGAGTATCATGGCCTTTAAACTTCAAATTTGTTCAAATGAGACAGCTCTGTGGATAAGAGTACCTGCCACCGAACTATCTAAGCCTGATCTCTGGAACCAGCATGGTAGAAAGAGAGAACTGACTTCCACAAGTTGTCCTCTGACCTCCACACATGTGCCATGGTGTGTGTCCCCATGCAGTCACCCCCCCTGACATATACAGACACACAATTAAAACTGTAGTTAAAAAATAAAACCCTCACATTTCAAAAGCACATTATGAATGTCATTGGTTTCCACACAGTGGTTTATTTGCTTGAGTCTAAACTGAAATTCAGCTTTTGTTTCTCATCAATATGCTCTCATGTTAATTATTTTACTTTCACATGAAGCACTGTATATAGTCCATATCTTTGCATGTAGATCGTAAATAACAACTGACAACTATTACACTAAAAGCCTTAAATTTCTTGTAGCAAGTTAACAGTACAATCCACTAAATGCTCATTATTCACAATCATCTTGCTTCAAGCATATTCCTCTTGGGTTGTCTATTCTAGAATTTATGCTGATAATGAGCTTTTGAATACTGATTTGCTATGACACTGGGTCTTATCTGAAAGCCTTTCATCAAAATAACTAGAGATATAATTTTAAATCTACCTCATCTATACAGTTGCCTTTAATCTTTAGGGATAAATAGTGACAAATGAGGCTTAGTTTTTGACCAGTTTAGGTGCTCCTAAACAGAGTGGGTGTTTTAATGGAGAAGTGGATTATAGGCATGCAGTGAGCATTCTGGGGTATGATGATGAGAGCTCTGAGAATGGATGCAAGACATTTTTTCACTGTTTCTGCAGAAGAAAGTATTTGCAATTTATAAAAGAATCAGATGTCTATTTACACAACCACTGGGATATGCACTAAATTTCCTTATGCATTTAAATTTCCCTATTTTCACACCCACTACAACCATTATTTAGTTTGCAGATTCATTAAGCTGTATAATGTGTACTTATTAGCTACCAAAGAAATCATGTCAAATTAGGTGTGCATTTTTATTACTTACAAAAAGGAAAAGTACACAGTAATGCAACAGCTAAAAAAAAAATGTTTCAATCACAAAGTGGTTAACAAGGACCAAAAAAGTTTAGATAAAAATCTTTCATCCAAGCTGTAAAATTAATGTATTTAGTGTGAATGTACCCAATTATAGAAAACAGTGGTGTGATTTCAGCATTGGCTTGATGAAAGTAAATATGATTCTCTAATTGCAAATATGTGACAGACCTTATAATTGGTCTCTGACTGCAGTCAGAATACAGGAGACATGGAATCCTGGCAGACAGGCAGAGACTGACACTCTTGCAGATCTTGGCATGTATAGCACAAGGGTAAACAAACAGGTAGAAGTAAAAGGCTGAATGTTCTGATTTCCTAAAGAAGCCAACAGTGATTTTCTGAAAACACATAGGTTAATATGAAAGCACATATAAGAATGAGAAATTAATTATACTTTATGTTTATATTCACATATACCTTATAGAAAATAGGAATGTGGTCTTAAGAAAACAGTCTGGACTTTGGCTGCAGACAATGCTGGGTTCATACCCTGTCTCTAGCACTTCCTAGCTATATAGTTGTAAGGAGTTGACATACTCCTTTATTCAGTATTCTCGTTATTAAAATATGTTACAGAGGGTCTGGAGATATAGTTCAGTAGGTAGAATGCTTGCCAAGCATGTACAAAGCCTTGCATGCCATCCCCAGCACCACATAAATCAGGTGTGGTGGCACACACCTATCATCCCAGCACTTAGGAGTGGGAGCAGGAAGATCAGTTTAGTCATCCTCAGCTACATAAAGATTTCAAGACCACCCTGGAATATACAAGATCCTGTCTCAAAGAACACACACATGCATGCATGCATGCACACAAATGCACACACGTGTGTGTAAGCGTGTGTGTGTGTGTGTGTGTAAGGGTATGTGTGTGTGTAAGGGTGAACTTCTGGTTGAAACAATGAACTGACCGTTTAGCTATGCAAAATCAAAATATTTGGTAGATTCCTTTAAGTATTAAATAAACAGATTGTATATGTATGTACATGTTTTATAATGTATCACTGAATTTACAACAATAATCATTGTGCCTAAAAACTTCAAAGTAGTACTAAGATGATTGCTTTCCCTCTAAGAATAGGAAGGAAGAACAAATTCCAGTATTAGGGAGTCTATCAAATGTTACCTTAGACCAACTATAAAGTGGAGGGTAAAAATTAAGACTTGTATTAGGTTAAGAACTTTGAATAATGCCCCCATTATTCCCACCCTCTAGGAAGGGAGGAAGGAGGGAGGCCATCTGAGAGAGAAAAGGGTAGAGATGAGTGAATCTCTGGGGGCTAGGAAACCTAGACGGAAAAGTGATGGCCTAGAAACTCTATGAGAAATGCACATAGAGTGTCTGAACATTAATGCGTATGTATACCTAGGAGCTGCTTGGAAGGAAACACAATGCCAGATAGAAGAGACCTCCCTTAGAGTGAATAACATGCTGTACAGCACTCATCAAAGAAGCTTCTTTTTGTAACAGATGGCAGCTACCACAGAGTTGCACATCTGGTCAGGCATAGAGAACATACACCTGGGAGATGCCCAGTACTAGGTGACACATCTGCAGTCAAATTCCTACAACCAAGGCTCATGGAACATAGCAGAATAAGGGGTAGAGAGAGGGCTAATGCACCCCTCAACTCTCACCAGTGAGGCTTCCATGTACATCAGAGTGTGTTACACACAGAAGGCCTCAACTGGCCAAGTTTTGTAGAATAAGAGACTGTAGAGTGTAGGATGGGACTCCTATATGGAACCTCATCCACCTATGGCTGGAAGAGGAGGCAGAAAGATTGTAAGAGCCAGGGCTGGTTCATGAACATATGAAGTGGAGGCTTCCAGGCCAATGGAGGCTTGCTCATGTGTGCGAGAGGCAGTGGTGGCATCCAAGGCAGGACCCATGTCAGCTCAAATAAACAAGAGCCCAAAGGGGAGGTGAGAAATAGGTGGCAGGTCAGCACTAGACCAAGAACTATTTGAGACTGGTTGCTGCCAGGGGAGGGAGAGTATGACTTACATAGGACCACTGGATGGGGTGACTAGACTCCAGTGGATGCATTGACACTGAAGGACATTTGGGTACAAACCCCTGAATGAATAGGACTCAGCATGTATGACAGAGTACATAGAGTTTGGGGCAGAGGTGGGGGAGCATGGATGGGGGAGGGCATCTGTACATTAGTGGGAAATGTATGAAATTTTAAAAGCTCAATAAAAAATTTAAAAAATTAAAAGAAGAACTTTGAATAAAAGCAAAGATTGCATATTGGGTAGTGGCATCGGGTTCCAGTCAATGGCAAATATAGAATCTTCCTGAAGGAAGGCACACCATAAATAAGCCCTCAGGATTCTGTAAGTTAACAACAAACAAATACAATCTCACACTCAAAAATAACAAAACAAAAGACTTACAGGAATGAGGATCAAAAGGAACAACACATTTTTAATAAAAGCAAAGATTGCATATTGGGTAGTGGCATCGGGTTCCAGTCAATGGCAAATATAGAATCTTCCTGAAGGAAGGCACACCATAAATAAGCCCTCAGGATTCTGTAAATTAACAACAAACAAATACAATCTCACACTCAAAAATAACAAAACAAAAGACTTACAGGAATGAGGATCAAAAGGAACAACACATTTTTAAACTCTTTTTTTTTCTTTTTTCTTTTTTTGAGAGAGGGTCTCCCTGTAGCCCCAGCTAACCTGAAACTCGTAGACAAGGGTGGCCTCAGTTTCACAGAGATCCACTGGTCTCTGCCTCCCAAGTGCTGGAATTAAAGGTGTGCACCACCAGGTACTGCATTTTCAAACTTATTTTAAGGCCAGCATTGTTTGCAAAACAACTAGAAAAACACATTACAAGACAATAACACTATAAACTAAAAATCCTGAATATGAAATTAAAAGTTACTAACAAAACATTAGTAAGTTGACTCCAACAATATGTACTATATACTTATATACAAATGTGTATGACTATTAATACATGTATATATGTAACATATAAGGGTTTACAAAAAGGATAATATATTATTAATAAATGGTTGGCTTTATTAAACTGAGAACCATTTGCTTATCTCTATAGATGTAGACAAAGTATTTGCCAAAATTCAACATTTGTTCATGATGCAAGCATATCAAATTAAAAATGGAAGAAAATTGTCTTCACAAGCTAAAAAGCATCTAAAAAAGAAAAATAGCGTTCTTGTGATGGTTCAGCAGACAAAAGAGCTTGCTGAGTTGGATTCCTGGGACCCACAGAGGAAGGAGAGAACTGATTCCCAGAAGTTGTCTTCTGACTTGCACATAACACACTGCGACATATGACTACACATGCACACACACACACACACACACACACACACTAATAAGAGGAACAATGCAATTTTTCTATTTTTAAATTTAATTTTAATGCTCATCAGTTATACATAAACACCAAAAAGTCACAGAATCTTTGCTTACAAAGGTCAAGAATCATTGCATGCAAACATCAATGAGGCTTCGAGATGCACATGAACGCTGCAGCCTCAGGGCTTCCACCTCCCTGTGCTGGTGACTGTGGGTTCTCAGCTTACTTCTAAGTAACACATATAAGTGGATATTTTCTGGGTTTTTAGGTATAATCTTTTGACTTCTCTCTTTGGAAGAGAAGAATTTAATTTTTTCCCCAGTCCTAAGCTAGGTGGTGTAATGTACATCTGTAATCATAACATTTGGGAAGCCAAGGCAGGAGTATTGTGAATTCAAGATCAGCCTGTCCTATAAAAAGCTGTCTTAAAAGTAAAAAACAGGTTTCCTGCTCCTATTTGCAGTTCATCCAGTCACAATTTCCTACTGCACTTACTTTTTATGAGAACTTTGTTTAGATGAACACAGTATTACATTGTTACATCTACAGAAGAATGCAATTAAAAAAAAAAAACTCAAACAGTGATAAGGAGCTGAATGTTTTCCCTCAAGAATGGGAGGCAAGAACACACTCCTGATCACTTCTAATCAACATGGTGCCTGTTACTAATTCAAAAAGGCAAAAGAGAAATAAAGGACTTAGAGATTAGGAGAGCATTTGGGACCTTTTTTGAATGAGCAATACAGAAGTTTTATGTTAGCTTGCTGTTACGGAGGAGAGATTGACTTGGGCTCATAGTCTTGGAAGCTTCATTCATTCATGATGGGAAAGCCATGGCTCAGCAGAGCAGCTCACTTAGGTTGGCCAGGAAAAAGAGAGAAAATATCCAGACTAGCTGACTTCTTTCTCTTCCTCTTTTGTTTTATCAGGGCCATCACCTATTGGGTGGTGCCACTCATATTTGGGGACAGAACTTCCCCCACTATGTGGAAACACCCTCACATCATACCCCGACGTGTGCTTTACTAATCTCCTTGGCACTTCTCAATTCAGTCAAGTCACCTATCAAGATTGGTCATTCCAAGGTCCTTATGTGAAATGAATAGAAGAAAAGAATCAGGAATAGCGTATCTTAACATGTAAATAATGTGTAAATTACACAATTAGCTGAACTCCGTATAGCTAACATTATTGAAAGAAAGTATTTTTATTTTTTGGAAAATAATTGACATCATTTTTCCAGAATTACTTTCTTTTTCCACTTCCAAATGAAGTATTGAAGAAGTAACTAGTTACTATTTTATCATTCATTCTGAACTCTACTTAATACAGACTGCATTCTAGCTAATTATTATCATAGAATTAATGTTAGACATATTGGTTTACTGTTTCCAGAATATTTGGTTGAATGTTCCATAAGGAAGATAGGTAAATAAAGTAGATAGGTAATTACACTGATATTTGGGGTAATAGTTCTGTATATTAATTTGCCATTCTGTTATCTATTTTTAACACAAGAAGCATTATATTAACAAGGAATAAAATAAACTATAAAGAACAGGCTGGGACTGAAATGTAGCTTAGTGGTCGTATGCTTACCCTGCTTGTGTGAGGCACTGAGTTCAATCTCCAGCACTGCCAAGAAAAAAAGAAGAAAAAGTCTCTCATAATCCCACCTCCATAATAAATCCATTGTTTGCATTTTTTTCATAAATAAATCCATTTTGCCCACATGCTAAGTGCTGTGTGCCCTATAATGTGTTTTCACTTGCATTACATTATAAATCTTTTCAAAATATTTTATTTATTTTGTTGTTGTCTTTTGTGTTTTATTTATTCATTTATTTATTTTTAAATAAATAAAATATTTTATTTATTATTTTTATTTTTTATGTGTATGAGTGTATTGCCTGCATGTAAGTGCACCAGTGTCATGCAATGGTCTTGGAGTCAGAAGAGGACGTTGGATCCCCTGGAACTGAAGTTACAGATGATTGTTAGCTGCCATATGGGTATTGGGAACCGAATTCAGGTCCTCTGCAAGAGCATCCTGTTCTCTTAACTACTGAGCCATCTCTCCAGCCCTGTTATAAACCTTGTTACATGTTGCCTTTTTCATAGTAAGATTTGTTAATGGATGACTTATAGTCTACAAATTAATACCCTGTTATTTACTGAATTATTTCCCAGTTTTAAAATGTTAATCTTTGAATTTTTTCAGCATTGTAAATAAGTTTTTTTGCATGTGATTTTTATGTGTTTTTAAAAATATTTTTTCAGGGGCTAAATACTAACTGTAAATGGTAAACTGTTGGCTTTGTCTGTGTCTTTCAGGGAGACATGCCAAGGAGAGAACTCAGGGAGCTGTACCTACTAGGTAAGCACTCTAGTACTAAGATACAACCTCCATACACATCATCTGGTTTTACTTCTTTAATAATTACATAAATATTTGTACTTCATTTGGTATCCTCTGCAGTATGTGGAAGGAACATAGGCTTTGGGGTTGTACAGATGTGATTCAATATTTAACTCTAATATCTGGTGTGTCAGATAGTTATTATACCACAAATTACTGAAAAACCCAGTGGCTTAAAAGAGTAAGCATATTTAGTTTTCTATGAGTAAGCTAGGTGTTCCAGCCTTTGATTAAGGAAGCAGATTGGAAGATCTTGGCATGTCTGTTTCACGTGCTTGATGGTAGACCAACAATAAAATTATCTAATATAATCTCAAATATGACAACCAGGCTATTTACAACACAGTACCTTAATGTCTAACAAGTTAGCCTGTCTCCCCTACCCCCCGCCCCCCAGGCAATGTTCTAAGAGGAAGCACATTGAAGGCCTCTTAGGGATTAAACTAAAAAAATGACAGTCACACCCTGCACCTGCTCTTGGCCAAACTCTAATCACAAAGGCAGTTCAGGTTCAAGTAGTAAAAATTAAATTTGAATCTTTTGAAGCATCAAAATCACCATTAGAGTATGTCCAACTTTCAGGGTTATTTCAAACTGGAGAGGAATATTCAGTTACAATTGCTTTGAGTTTAATGCATTCTCAATTATGTGCTAAACTTGTATCCCTTGTATGGTTCAGCCACCAAAACCCTGTATGTAGTAGGGCTACAAGAACTACTAAACAAACAGATAATAATAATATATATTGTTAGACTACGTTCTGAGCACAGATTTTTAAAGACTCAGATATAAATACATAATTAACTGGATACATTATTGCCACAAAATAGTTTTTAATTCACGTCCTGTAAAACATATAGTAAAATAAATGCTGATGCTAAAACCCATGACAATGTTAGCTATTTTTCTACAACTCCTAAATTTTGTAATTTATATTTTCAGATATATAAGAAGTAGAGATTTTTTAAGGACCTATTTGATCATACTCAATATGTAATTTGTGCAGGACCATTATTTTTGGCAATAGATTTTCTTTATAGGAGGAAAATAGAGTATATAAATTCTGCAGCGCATGCTGGGAGAAAATCAGTGTGGCGACACACTTCTCGTGCTTCAAGGATTTTTACTATAATCGAAATCTATAGGAACACGATACCTTGGAACCTCACTGTCTCGATATGTCAGACACAGACATGGCAAGAATACACACTCAGGAGCTCTACCTGCTGAAATAAATCACAGATGCTATGCAATCACCAAACAAATATTTTAACTTTATGATTTCATAAGCCATTTTCCATGTCAAAAAACTTTTAAACAATATGTCCATTTTAGAAATAGGCATACTAAAGAAAATGGAATACATTCATGTTTCTATCTGTGAAAATAGTCAGAGCTGAGATTTGAAACATATAAAATGGTAAAAATTCATTCAGTGGGAGAATATAATCATCTATGGTAGCAAAACATGCTGCTTTCCTAATTAATATACTACAGGTTTGTATAGAACTTTAAAATGGCGTTTCAGCCAGGTGCAATGAATCACACCTGTAATCCCAGCACTTTGGAGGCTGTGGCAGCCAGATGGCTCCGTGTTCAAGGCCAGCTAGGTCAACAAAGTGAGTCCCAGGCCTGGACCAAAGATTAAGACATTTTGTGTTCCTGTCCCTCAGTTGCATGAGGGATCTTCAAATGGCCAAAACAAAGAGATTAAGAGTCTGAAGATTGCTGGTCCATGAACAGGACTCCTATACTAAACTTCACCCACCCAGGGTTCAGGGACCATCATGAAAGAGGGGGTGGAAATACTGTAAAAGCCAAGGAGGAGGTGCATGACATGGAAACAGAGTCCTACAAGCTCCTGGAACCTGCTCATATGATTCTATGACAATGGTGTCAGCTCCCTCATGCAGCAGAGGGCCAGGAACACAAAAGGTCACAAATGGCCAAAGTATAGAGATCAAGAGTCTGCTGAATGATGGTACTTGGACAGGACCCCTTTATTAAACTTCACCCACCCAAGGCTGAGGGACCATCTCAGAAAGAGGGTGGCAGAAATATTGTAAGAGGCAGGGAAGAAGTGCATGACCACATGGAAACAAAGTCCTACAAGCTCGTGGAACCTGCTCATATGATTCTATGACAATGGTGTCAGCATACAAAAGTCCCATGAAAAATCAGGCAGACAAAAACCCAGCAAAGAACTAACTAGAGAAATGAACAGCAGACCCCAATCTTGGCTGAGGAAACATTGGCAGATGATTACTGGTGAGGAAGAGCTGATTTTCCTAAAACAAGAGACTCTAGATAGGCTGACTAGACTTCAGTAGATGGACTTGCACAGGGGAACATCTGGGGACACTGACTTGACACACTGGGCCTTAATATGGAGGGCAGAGTATGTGGGTTCCAGTGGGAAAGCTGTGAGAGTATGCTGGTGGGGCAGGGGTATAAAGATGGTTAAAATTCTTTGAGATATTCTGTACAAAATACACAAAAAAGCAGTAAGAACAAATTTTTAAAAATTATTGTTTTTAAAAGTCTGAAAAAACAAAGAGTAAGACCTTCAGAAAATAATAAAAAGAGACAGAAAATTTTAACATTTGGTTGATATATTTTCACGTCAATGACAATTTTTAAGCATGTAAATCTATACCCAAGTTCAAACGTACTATATATATTAAAAAAAGCTTAAGCAGTTAAGTTTTGCAAGTCACTGTTTCAAAAACACAAAATAGTTCAAGAAACTGAGGCAAGACTTTGGAATAATATAATAAAAATCATGAGCTCAGCTGTGGTTTTCCTATTTTTATATTATTCCATGCTAAATTTAATAAAAAATCTAGTTCTTTTTAAAATCATTTGCATTTACATTATCTTTGGTACTTTTCAAAAATAATCTCTTCTCATTAATTGTTCATTATTTATAGTTAGGTGTTCTAGTATTTAACATTTTAACATTACATTTAACATTAACATTTTATAAGTTTTGAAGAACTTATAAAATGATGTCAAACTACAGATATGCTAACTGTAGCTCATTTACTCTCTTATTGATGAGCATTTAAAATGTTTCTAGTTCTTCCTTTTTTAAACAGTAATGTCATAGTTTTGAACTTCTCTTTTTGTAAGGAAATGTTTCTCTACAAAAGAGGTTTTAAGGAATATACCTCTTCAGCCCCACTATGCATTACTAGTTTATCATTCATTAATTGTAGATGAAGATATCTTTAAAACATTTTCTTCCTAAACGATGCTATGTACCTTCTTATTGTCATAGAATGGCACCTCTAGCCTACGGTGAATTTTTTATTCTGTGGACTAACTCAGTACAATACTGTACTATGACACTTGCCAAACCATCTCATCAATATTATGAACCATGGTAATTTTGATAGTAGCAAAGAAGTTTCTTTTGTAGTAGGTTGAGATAACGGGCATTGCTTTCTGTCCTACATAGAGGACTGTTTGAGTAAAGACTGACTACACCCAGTGTTTCTTCGAAAAGCATACAGAGCTCAGAAAGCAACTTTTACCTTGTGTATCCTAGGGATTATTTTAAGAGAGAAAAGAGAGAGAGAGAGAGAGAGAGAGAGAGAGAGAGAGAGAAAGAGAATTTTTCAGGTGCCTTCCATCTTGTTTTTGATCACACAGGGTTTCTCACTGGCCCGGAACACTCAAGTAGGCTTGTTGGCCAGCAGTCCTGAGTATCTGTCTGTCTCCACCTTCCCAGTCCTAGGAGCCCTGTCTTCACTTCCAGAGTCCCGGTATTATAGAGAAATCACCACACCCAACCGGAATTTATGTGCCTGCTGGGATCTGAAGGTCAAGTCTCATCCTTCCATGAAAAACAATTTACCCATTGAGCCGTCACCTCCGCGGAGCCACAAGTGGCTCTTGATCTGGGTTTTGAGGATCGAATTCAAGTCCTCATTCTTGTGCAGCCAATACTTCACGGACTGAGCAAAGAATCTCCCTGCCCCTCGTTAAGCCTCTACTCTCCTATCCCAAATTCTACTGGAAAGGCTACATATGGAAAGCTCATCTTGTTTGGGAATGAGACACCTTTAATCTTGGATGTGTTACAGCTCAAGATCCAGCAGTTTTTGTTCTGCGCTTTCCCCACAAAGTGATACTCCTATTTGTGTCTACTGCCCTGATGCTCATCTTCCAAAGAGTATCATATTTGTCTCATAGGTAGCAAGATGATAACCTC